ATTGCAATTATCCTAACCTAGAGTAACCAGCCAGAGGTCACAATTCGTAAAGAGGTGTCATATTGGTTTTTCAAACTTTTAAATGTTTATTTGAAGGCGAAAACAGATTAATTTGATTGGAAAAGGTATAAATTCTTTTTTTTTCTGTTCGTCAACTTAAGTTTATATCGCTTGTCGGGTAGTCCAAGTCTTACACGGTTGCTGATGATAACAGGAAAATTGAAATAAGTGTATATGGATTTAGGGTGTGTAAATGAAGGTAAATTGGGTAGAGGGGGACCAGCCTGGTAAATAGGCTACCGGGCGGTATGAATGTTAATAAATGGATATGGTCGGCTACTGAATGTATTTACTAGCGTAAATGTGTAGTGTGAGAGAGATGTAAGAATATCAAGTATCAACCACCCTGACTGACTGAATGTTGTAATAGTACTGATAGATATCTCGTTTTGTATTGCCTTGTGTGTATATTGAACGAGAATGTATTTATTAGCGTGAATGTGTAGAGTGAATTAGGCTGCTCGTCGGGATGGAACTTAATATATGGATATGGTCAATCAGGTTACCTGTGTTAACTTGTGTATATATTGATGGTGAATGCATTTATTAGCATAAATGGTAGTGTGAGAGGGCCGTTGGAATAATATAAAGTACTCCTCCACCCTAACTAACTGAATGGTATATTAGTACTGATAGATATCTCGTTTTGTGTGTCAATAGGTTACAGCCAATATTAAACTTAATGAATCGATCTGGTAAATAGGCTACCAATACATCGGTTTGAATTTTAATAAATGGATTTGTCAGCTAGCCGTGGGTATGGACCTTAATAGATGGTACTGGTCAATAACCTATAATAGCCGCACACCTGCGAGAATCCCGTAAATGGTTTTACATGTTCGAATTTCAATTATCCGAATAATCAACTTTTGTAAGAAGATATTTTTATAACCTATTTCGATTGCGTTTCGATAAAATGGCTGATAGAAGGTAGGATATAAAAAAGGCTATTTCCTTCCTCGAGAGTCTAATCCTCCCTCAATAAGGGGACTAAAAAATGAATTAAATATTTATTTTGTCATTCTTAGAGGGATGAAGCCAACAATACACACTCAGGGAATCGTCCGATGAAAACTCGAGTACGGCCAGAACATAAATTTCACTTTATTGACCCGATTAGTGTTCGGTTACGATCCATCAACCGACCAAATGGTAGTCTTTAATCACGTTATTGTTTTCATCTCTTTCTTTTCTTATTTGTTCAGACATTACGTCAATTTTGTTAGAATTAAGCTAAAGAAGCATTTGCCATCTTTTATTACGTTTTGAAGAAATGGCATCAGAACATTGAGGAGAGTCGCCTATTTTCGATAGGATTTACCTTTGATACTTTTTGATCCTTTCAATAAGAAGCCCTCTTGGGTGGGTTTCTTAAAACGAAAAATATGCTCTCCAGTAACCTCACACATCAAACAAAATCTTTATTAAAAATTCAACAGGCTAAATTTATCTTTTAATTTTCTCCTTTCATATAAAGTAAGACTGGTTTTTCGTATTGTTTTATGGAAAACGAACACCTTCTGTACTATTGTAACATCAGTCGATTGGCAAATCAGGCGATGAACGAGTGCAGACAAAAATGATTTCAGTTTGCCTGCTATTCTAGTTGTTTATTGAACTTAGAGGAGAGGTTCGTGAGGTTCTAAAGTGAAGGAGAAGGATACAAAGGAGGAGCATACAAAGAGAAGGATACAAGGGCCCAGGGCTTAGGTGGCCAAGCACTTTAGACTTTTGGCTCAGGTTTTTCCTTGTCCCTTACTTTATGTAGTAGTTGATGTTGATCGTGCTTGATGCGATTTCCCAGGTCTTCTTGAAGTCCTAGATCATGTCTCCAATAAGCAGTTGGTTCGAACTGTTGGCAATTTCTTCCTCGTGATTGCATAATTTAAAAATGTGGTCATCGTGGGATATAACCCTGTTTTCTCAGATATTGACAAGTATATAGCTCATGAGACCATACCCAACATTTAATTTAGGTCTATACCGACGGGTAGCCGACCAGATCCATCGATTAAAAATCATTTCGAATGGTAACTTATTCACCACATTCATCTATTAAGAAGTGCCATATCAACGGCTAGCCTACTGACCAGGTCCATCTATTAATGTCTTCCGGGTAACCTATTGACTAGATCCATCTATTAAGGTACATACCGACGGGTAGCCTATTGACTAGATACATCTCTTAAGGTACATTCCGACGGGTAGCCTATTGACTAGATACATCTCTTAAGGTACATTCCGACGGGTAGCCTATTGACTAGATCCATCTCTTAAGGTACATTCCGACGGGTAGCCTATTGACTAGATCCATCTCTTAAGGTACATACCGACGGGCTGCCTATTGACCAAACCCATAAGGTAAATTTTATTCCGACGGGTAGCCTATTCACTAGATCTTCTCTTAATGTACATACCGACGGGCTGCCTATTGACCAAACCCATAAGGTAAATTTCATACCGACGGGTAGCCTATTGACTAGATACATCTCTTAAGGTACATTCCGACGGGCTGCCTATTGACCAAACCCATAAGGTAAATTTCATACCGACGGGTAGCCTATTGACTAGATACATCTCTTAAGGTACATTCCGACGGGCTGCCTATTGACCAAACCCATAAGGTAAATTTCATACCGACGGGTAGCCTATTCACTAGATACTTCTCTTAAGGTACATTCCGACGGGTAGCCTATTGGCTAAATACATCTCTTAAGGTACATTCCGACGGGTAGCCTATTGACTAGATACATCTATTAAGGTATACCGACGGGCTGCCTATTGACCAAACCCATAATGTAAGTTTCATACCGACGGGTAGCCTATTCACTAGATACTTCTCTTAAGGTACATTCCGACGGGCTGTCTATTGACTAGATCCATCTATTAAGGTATACCGACGGGTTGTCTATTGACAACAAAAATACATTAAATTCCATACCGACGGGTAGCCTACTGACTAGATCCATCTATTAAGATACATTGCGACGGGCTGTCTATTGACTAGATCCATCTATTAAGGTACATACCGACGGGTTGCCTATTGACCACAACCATATATTAAATTTAATACCGGCTATAGCCTATTGCCACACGAAACGAGATATCTCTTAGTACTATTAGGTCATTCAGTCAGTTTGGATGCTGAGGACTTGATATTCCCTATCGGCTCTCTCATACTACACATTGACGCGAGAAATACATTCACCTTCAATATCACCCCAAGAATACAAGACGAGCCATATAAAATATTATATACAGTAAAACAGCCGTCTGTCTTTTAGAAAATCCGATCATTAGACCCAATACTACCACGATTCCCATATCAAGTAGAATATCTACATGTTCTCTATATGGAGCCAAGAAATCTCCAATATCCAGTCTAGATATTACTGTAAGACATTGTAGGGAGTATGGAGGATATTTCACACTGATTAACAAATTCCAGATCTAGTTTCAAATGTGCTCTTATGCAGACTTAACATGATAAGCCCAGTTGGCGAGAATACACTTATTATCGTAGACGTTTGGTGTTGGTTGTAAGTAAATTTAATGGTAACTTTGCGCTAGCGGTTAAAAATTTACGCGAAAAGCTCCACGGGTATCCGCAATATCCCGGATGTTCATATAAGTGAAAAAACGACAAAATAAAATCATGTTTTCATAACGAAAGAAAGAGAGAGGGAGGGGGGGAGGAAAAAACAACAACAACCATTGTCCCGTGTTCTAGATTGGAGCTTTAAGGATAAAAATATGCCGGCGTTTATCGCTGAACTGTCCGGCACACTGTTCAGATGAAAAGAATAAAAACAGTCTCAGTTAAGTTATCACTTGGTTCAAATTAATGTTCGCAGGGTTAAACCTGAGAAAAATTCACCTACAGTGTTCAACTGGTACAATTTCCTTGTCTTTGTGCACATTGCAATTTGAGAGATTTTAGAATTAATTAGAAAGAGATAGATTCGTCAAGGTTTTTATTTTCTTGAAAAACAACAGAAAAACCAATTTTCTATGTAGGAAGTATTCTGGCAATGCTCTCTTTGCAGTGTTTGTGTCACGAGAGTAAAATGCTTGAAAGAAACCACCCGACCCGGCCGAATCCCCCCCCCCACCGAGTCCGCTGCTAGGCCATCGACTCTTGATAATCGTCGAACCAACCCTTTACTTACCACTTGCCAGCCCATAATGAAAGTGTTCACGTATGAAAAAAGACAACCTAAACATCTTCAAATTTCTACATGTAGGGAGATAGGCAGACCAGAAAGATAACGACCAAAACTGTCTTTACTTTTTCCGATTTTACACATAAAGATCATTTTTTCACCATCACCAATTTCGAAAGACGAGTTTTAACACGGTTAAGGGAACGAGTCGACGGCAGGTCGGACTTCACCCTGTCTTATAGGATTAACCTTTCTAGGGGTCTACGCGGCTAATTCCCTCACCCTCAGATCCGCCGAGGTTAATCTAAGCCATGACATGTAAATGACTCAACTTCTACCTTTCATCTGTCAACTATGGTCTCCTGAGTGATATAACAGTTCAGGAAACGGAATTCAAACTGAAAAAGACATTTAAACCCTTGTAATTGGAAACTTTTCCTAATACAGCATGGAATAGGCCAAGAAAAGGGTGGGTCAAATTGTAACTTACTCCCGCCTCTGGTTAACTTGGAAGTTTCCACTGTTTTCTAGACAGCAGCTGATGAGCTTGCTCCATCCCCGAGCAGGGGCTTAACTTACGGCAGACTCGTCGATGAGTCAGTTGATTGATGAGTTTCAGTTGTATTTGTATATTTTCTAAATTTCGAGTAAGTTTCGACTAAAGTGGTTCAAGTTGATAAAAACATGTGCGAAATCGGCCAACTGACGCTTAGTTAGCTTAGACTTACATTTTCATTCTAACTTATAAATTGAAACTTAAAAATTAAATGGGCATACCTGTATCAAAAAGCGTAGTGGAGACTCTCCTGAAAAAAGAAAAATTAATTATGTAATAATTAATTTAAATATGAAATGTAAAAATTATTCGTGTACCAAATATAACAATGGCAGCAATGTTACCAACTTAAACATTGGCATACTTGTCTACATGAGATAGCAATATGACCAACTTTCAAAGCAGCAGAATTATCAACCTAAGTAGCCATGTTACCGACTTAACCACTGGCATAGTTGCCTATCTGAGATTTAGTAATGTTACAAACTTAAAAGTTGGTATAGTTGCCAACCTGAGGTAGCAATGTTACCAACTTAAACATCCGCATAGTTTCCTACTTTAGGTAACAAAGTTACCAACTTACACCCCAGAATAGCTATCAAGCTGATGTAGCAATGTTACCAATTTACACCTCAGCACAGTTGCCAAACTGAGGTGACAAAGTTATCAACTTACACATATATCATTTTGTGCCATTTGTAAACTTTTTCAATGATAAGTATTTTTGTTGGGTGTAACCCACGGTTATTTATTTTACTTAATGAAATCAGCCTGCCTGGAATAGATGTTTAAGGATAAAATTGATATTAAATATTGAATTGACCTGTAAATAATGTCAGATTTTTTGTAACGGTTTTAAAAATCAATTTTGCGTTGATTGGGACGCAATAAAACCTCTGCTTTACGCAATACCAATTATAGTAATGACAATTATGTTTATTTTGAACCTTTTACGCTCCAATATTAACCCGTTATATTACGTTACAAATTGGAGTCTAAATCCATCGTTTGTTGGTTGTGTCACTTTTCAAAAAAGAAGGTAGGATTTTCTAGCCGGGAAGAAAAACAAGGCATTACGTGGTGATGGTATCAGAGGAAGCCGGTTTGACATGTTCAGAGGAGGTTTCTCTCTAAAAATCAAAGAAAGATTTTCAAAAAGCAGAGACAACTCACTTTTTACAAAATACTCGTGATTAAGTCCGGTTACACCAATATTTTGAAAAGGCAAAGGCGATCTCCACTCGACTAATGGGAACCGTTTAATTAGAAATTTTACAAGTCTGCCAAAAACTACATCCGACGATAGAAAATCAGTTGTGTTCCCGCAAAACATAAAGCATGATGGTAAAAGCTAATTATGACACAAGATACCAGATGCGTGTGGAAATGCATCTGAACAACGTGGTTATCCGGACGTCTTCTAAAAGGCCGGTAAGCTTCTTAGTTCTTATCCAACCCTCGACGATATTTACAAAATATTATATAATATAATTCCGCGGGAATTCTAAAATCTAAACATACAATTACGTAAAATCTAAACTTTGTTGAGAGAAGCAGAAAGTAGAGTAATCAATCCATCTTTCTAATGGTTGCAATTACGGTGATTCTAGCTAAGGATTTTTCAATGGAATAACAGGGCACCAGAGACAGAAATATTGTCCAAAAATCAGGTTAAAAATCTTTCCTTTTTTGCCGTAAAATTTGTATTTATGGGCTTTATTTATACTGTTTTCTTATCCTAGGTTAAAACCAAACAAATAAACAAATCAGCTGATATAGGGTGACTGGCGATAAGTGTCGAAAATTTCAGGAGGTGTTTCTACTCACCATATACAACAAATGACTTCCTATATTTATTTTATTTTTTTTTTTTTAACGAGGGTTCGCAATAGCAGAGGTTATATCAACCCTCGGGATGTCGGTGTTTTTGAAAAAAAGCCCAATTATAAGTATGTCGGGTTCGAACTCAGGACCTTCACCTTACAGCGATGAGCGCCGTGTCAACGCCTAAACCGCTGCGGCTACCGACGCCCCCAATGACTTCCTATAAACCCCTGTCCAAATCTCAACTGTACAGAAGTAATTTCAGGTTTTTTTTAAAAATTTTTCGACTTAGGTCCACTAAATTGCATATAAACTGGATAAGGATTACTGACTGTAGAAAAATCTGGTTTGTGCCTCCTGAAAGATCGTTAAATTTGCTGTAAGGAAACCTATTTACATTGTAGAATTGACGAAAAAATTCTGCACGAAAAATTCAGGAAGAAAACAAAAACGTTGAAATTTGTAATTTTTCGAAATGATGGATTGGTATCTGTTAATAGGGGGACCGCGGTAGCCGAGTGGTTAGCATGAGAGACTCTCACGCCGCGGTCGTGGGTTCGATTCCCACCGTCGCCTCTGGCCCTTTTTTCCCGATAACCCCCAATTTGAACACACAAGAATTCGTACTATGGCTAATATGCAAGATCATAAGGCAAAAAAAAAAAAAAACTGTTAACAACTACAAACTCCTGGAGCATTGCAAATTCCCTAAATAGTTCTCCATTCAATTAGCTTCCAGCGGTATACCCTCCTTTTTGGAATGCGCATCTGGATGGCCCAAAAATTTTACATTTTGTTGAAAAAAACTGGTGTTGATGAAGGGGGCACATTCAATTTTTCCAGGAAAACCGTCCGGCTCTTGAGTTTCGTGTCGGTTCTTTAATGTTCAATTCAATCAGTTTGCTTTATGTAATCAGCTGACACTTCCTCAGGTTGGGGATTTAAATTACGAGGGTAATTGATGTAGATGAGGAAAAAATCAACTCACTGCTTGTGGTCATTTCGTTTCAAATTTTGCACCCTCGTAATATGGTATAGGTACAACCCTTCCCGACGGAAGGTATCCCAACCTCATCATTGTGAAACACCAAGGTTTATACATAATGCACGTGTACTGGTTTCGGGATCACGATTAACAAAATGCAAAATTTCCTCATCTACATCAAAGAACCAGTTTCCCTCAGCCTCTGGTGAAGTCGTTAGAAGGTGCGATCTGCTGGAACGTCTCGATGTGGAAAACGAGCTTGGTATTCTCACCCTGCAGCAGTAGCATTACCGTTGCTGCAACCGTAAATGATATGCATATCAGCAAGATCGAACTATAAAGAACTGACACGAAACTCAGGAGCCAAACGGATTTCCTGGAAAATTGAGCGTGCCCCCCTTCAACGATCCAAGTTTTTTCAACAAAATGCAGAATTTTTGGGCCTTCCAGAAGCAGAGCAATCTAAAAAGTTGAGTATACCGCTGGAAGCTAATGGAATGGGGGACGTTTGAGGGAATTTGAGGGAATTGAAAGCTCCAGGAATTTGTGGTTAGTAACAGTTACCAATCCAACATTAAAAAATCCAAATTTCAACATTTTTGTTGTTTTTTCTGAATTTTTCGTGCAGAATTTTTTCGTCAATTCTACAATGTAAATAGGTTTCCTTACAGCAAATTTAACGATCTTTCAGGTGGCACAAACCAGATATTTCTACAGTCAGTAATCCTTATCCAGTTTATAAGCAATTTAGTGGACCTAACTCGAAAAAAAAATCCAAAACCTGAAATTACCTCTTTAACGTTGAGATTTGACAGAGGTTTATAGGAAGTTTTTTGTTGCATATGGTAAGTAGAAACACTTGAAATTTTCGACACTTATCGCCAGTCACCCTATATCAGTTGATTTGTTTATTTGTTTGGTTTTAACCTAGGATAAGAAAACAGTATAAATAAAGCCCATAAATACAAATTTTACGGCAAAAAAGGAAAGATTTTTATCCCTAATTTTTGGACAATATTTCTGTCTACGGAGTCCTGTTGTTACACGGAAAAATCCATAGCTAGAATCAACATAATTGCGACCGTATATTGTACCGCATTGTATATTTAATTTTATATAATTTTTAATTTTAATTTTAATAATTATTCGGAGATCGTGAGTTGCGGTCTGGTGTGACATAGGTTTTGGAAAAACATTTTCTTTATTGTGCCAACGTTTCGATCTTTATTGAGATCATCTTCAGGGCCTGGGATTTATAAACATTGTTCAAATTTTACAAATACAGGTTGGATGTGGAAAAAAAATTTGTAAACTTTTTGTAAAATTTCAACAAGGTTTATAAATCCCAGGCCCTGAAGATGATCTCAATAAAGATCGAAACGTTAGCACGATAAAGAAAATGTTTTTCTGAAACCTACATCACACCAGAACGCATATCACGATCTCCGAATAATCATTAACTAACGTCACTAAACGCCACACATTTAATTGTACTTTATTTTCACATGGTCTTCTGGTAAACTTATTGGGTTGTCCGGAAAATAATGCAGGATTTTGGTATTAAACAAAAAAAAAGAAACTAGTTACTTTAAAGCAATGNAATGAGTAATCCTGTAAACGTAAACAGAATATTTTATATAGATTTTTTTTAATGAAAACTTAAAATCCTGCATTATTTTCCGGACAACCCGATAATTTGTTCAATAAGCCTGTGTGTACTCGATATTCCACATAGACCGTATCCTTAGATACTTAACCACTCACGCAAATAAATACCTTCTCTCATTTGGGTAGTCATAAGGGTAATTATTATTACGCTAGTGATTACCCCTCTATCATACTGCAAATTTATAAAACTAAATAACCTAAACTTCTTTCGTATTAATTAAGGTTTTTAGTTGAGTTAAAAAAGTCAGTGTCACGATGTCACGGGATTCGAACCCATGACCTTCGGCTTGATACGCCGATTCTCTACCACTTGAGCTATCGTGACTTCGATCTTCTCGGGCACTAACTTCCCATCTCAACCCCACCTTTTTGAATTTTTCCTCCTTTTTGCCATTTTTCAATTTCAAAAAGGTGGTTGAGATGGGAAGTTAGTGCTCGAGTGGATCGAAATCAAAGATAGCTCAAGTGGTAGAGTAGTCAAGGTATCAAGCCGAAGGTCGTGGGTTCGAATCCCGCTCGTGACACTGACTTTTTTATCTCAACTAAAAACCTTAATTAATTGAATGACATTAATTGGTCAAGCGGACCACGAAAAATAGTGAATTTAACTTTTTTCGTATGTTTGTGGGTACTCAACACCCACACCCAAACATATTATACGTTCACGCTAATAAATACATTCAGATTAAATTAAAAAAAGACAAATTATGGATATTATTTCCACCTACAAAAGGTGCGGCCGTAATGTGCTTCTTGTAACCAATCAATTTCTT